GGTTCTTGTCATGTTGGTGTCTCGAAACGTTTTTCACGTGGTATCAGCCTTGCAGTCTATTGCTTGTCTTCATACATTTTTTTTTGGCCGATCAGATCTCTTGTAGATCATGGGTTCATACGTTAGCACCGTTTATCGTATGCGGTCCCTTGCAGTTTCTGGTTTCTCATTTATGTACTTTCGGACCGTAGGTCTTTTCAGATCCGATACGCTGCGTTTTTTAAGCATGGTACTGGCCATGCGGGTGAATGTTTAAATGTTTAGGTTGCCCTTGTGCAGCCATATTTATTCTTTTGCTTTTCGAGACACCAGTCTTGACACTTTGTCTCCTTGCGCCCCGAAACACGTCATGTGGCAACGCGTATTTCGGGGCGCAAGTGAATTCAAAGTACAGAGCTTGATATAGTGAACGGATCATTTTGCAATTTATGTGCGTTGGCTGTTGGGCTGGCGTTAAATATCTTCGCAACACAGTGCTGACTAGCCCCAAGAAGGGTAAAACAGTTGTCCACTGTTGCGATCCTACTTTATCGGTTCTTGTCATGTTGGTGTCTCGAAACGTTTTTCACGTAGTATCAGCCTTGCAGTCTATTGCTTGTCTTTACAAAATAGCACAACTCAATTTTTCTGTGATAAATTAAATTCATTATTAATATCAGAATACTGTCACGCTGTAGTCAAAAGCGGAAAATACAAAGCAATCTATGATTGCATGCAAAGGCGTTGGTGTTCAAGATTTCAATTTATCGCCTTTTATCGGTAGACGAGTATTAAACGTACCTGGGTGAAAGGCCATGTTTGACTGTTGGTGAAAGCATTTCTCGCCCAGATAATTTTATTTTTCACTTTTTTCTCAATGATAATGTTGTAAGTGGAATATAATAACACACCAGTCGCAGTATAACCTGAATTTCAGTCGTGGGTCATCGCCTCAATACTTCGTCAATGATTATTTTATCCTGCGTCAAAACGCAGAAAGATGAATATTGTAATGTTACATATTAGATTTTTCTTCGGTTCTTCAATGAATGCCGTCGCTCGGGGCAAAAGTTTCCCTTTATAATATAACTAGAGTAGTAGGGAGAAAACTTGATATGACCTGAACGAAATTTAATTCCTGTTACACAGTTGACCTCCTATTTTACAAGTTAATCTGTTTCAAGCAAACTGTTGTTCGTAAGTATATATATCTAAGTCTCTCTTAATCCCGATCTTCAAAATAATTAAGCTAACAGCGGAAGAGAGGTCTTTTTACGATGACGTAATGTAGACGACACGTGTTTTCTAAGCTTTCGGGGAAGTCCCTAAATTTGCCCTGACAGGTGCCGAATATGTGCTGTCACTGTGCTGTGTCTCTGCATAAATAAGTAAAGGTTTCTCAGTCTGAATTTCAAGAATCTACACTTTTAAGACACACTTTTGTATTTCTGTCGTGTGTATCGACAGGATCTGACTTAGGTCACGTGCTTTCCTAGAATTATACGCCTAAATTTTGCCTTGACGAGAGCCGCATATTTTAAGTGGTAACCAATGACATATTTCCGTATAATAATTGGGGGGTTCCCCCGTCTAACTTCCGAGAATCCACATTTCAAGGAGACGCTTAGGTTGCATCTCTCTCTTGTGTATCGACAGGATTGAGCTTGAATTTGTGAGTCTTCGCTAATATAGGCAACCAATAGGCAAAGGCAACCAAAAGTACATTGAATCACAATCTTTATAAAACGAAATTCGGTTATGATGGAGAGACCGCGGATCATTGCGGGAGCAGTCGTGTTGCTAATAACTGTTTTGGCTGTGTCTCTTGTCGCTGTATTTGAGATTGGCAAATCTCCTGATGAGGAAGGTAGGTACATATATGCAGCAATGGTAAACATATAACTTAGTAACTACTTAACATTAGAGCTTTTGTGTTCGACCAACATGATCAGTACTGCTCTAGAATTATGAGACAAGCTTACAGACAGTGAGTCAAGAAAAATAAAATGCTTCGCTCAGCATCTTCTGCAGTCATTTATGCGCGACAGTTTATAGTCATTTTCCTCCTGTTTGTGTGTGTAAATACTATCAAATTTGTTGATTTTGATCATTATTTGTTTCACTGTGCGCCGCCGACCGACCGGAGTAGCTCGAAGCCTTCTGACATCGAGAAAGTTGCGTGCTTCTTGGATGTAGCGTCCGTGCAATCCAAAGCCTCTTTTTTATCCATGCTAAATTAATAGAGCATTAGAATAAGTTTCGGGTGCACTAAAGTGTCAGTCAAGGCAGTTTCTTGAAACCTTAAATTTGTTTATCTTTGATATTAAAATTTCATTTTCCAAAACAGATGAAAAGGACAAAAGAATTTTGGGCACACTGACTTTTGACTGTACGCAGAAGCCCCTTTGTGATGCCAACGCTATCTGTACAGCTGACCTAAGAGACGAGAAACGTTTCAGTTGTGTTTGTAACAATGGTTTTGAAGGCAATGGCTCTGTTTGTCGAGGTATGAGAGTATTTAATTTTAGACCGATTATGTAGTTTATTACTAGGCCTATTATCTATTCAGTTTGACTGTGTTAGTCTAGCGCAAGGCCAGGCTTTGAAACTTCTTTTACATGACAAAGTTGAAAAAAATCGATTAATCGATTCACGCAACAGATAACGATGATCACATCACAAACTGAATAGTTGCTTAAAGATTCCTTGCTAGCAGTTATCAGGCCAGCCTGTAATTGATCACATTACGTTACATTCATTTTTTTTTTCGTTCATCCTCTCTTGTCCATTATATTAACAACCCAAAATGATATGTGAATGACGTTTTGTCTAACCATGGCTATTATGTATGTCATCACTTTCTACAGACATTAATGAGTGCTTATCCCAAGAACTTCATTTGTGCCCTTCTACTGCTAAATGTGAGAACACGATTGGTTCCTACCAATGCAGTTGTCTCCCAGGATTCCATGGGGATGGCAAGTCTTGTCAGGATATTGATGAGTGCAGGGCTAATATGCATAATTGCAGTGTTCATGCACTCTGCAATAACATCATTGGCTCTTACGCCTGTAGTTGTCCTCCTGGCTTTAAAGGAAATGGATGGTCTTGTCAGGATATTGACGAGTGCAAGGCTAATATGCATAATTGCAGTGTTCATGCACTCTGTAACAACGCTATTGGCTCTTATGCCTGTAAATGTCTTCCTGGCTTTAAAGGAAACGGATGGTCTTGTCAGGATATTGACGAGTGCAAGGCTAATATGCACAACTGCAGTGTTCATGCACTCTGCAATAATTCTATTGGATTATATACTTGTAGTTGTCTTCCTGGCTTTAAAGGAAATGGCTGGTCGTGCCACGACATCAATGAATGCAAGGATGGGAATCACAAGTGTCACGCACACGCAGCATGTGCAAACACTGAAGGCTCTCATGAATGCAGCTGCATTTCTGGGTTTCATGGTGATGGTCATGTGTGTCTAGATATCGACGAATGTCTGGAAGGATCACATGACTGCAGTTTGCATGCAACTTGTATAAACACTGTGGGCTCCTATTCATGTTCATGCAATGATGGTTTCCATGGCAATGGTCGGTTATGCTCAGACGTCAATGAGTGCAGCGTTGGAAGTCATCTCTGTGATGCTTATGCCAGCTGTGTTAACAACCCTGGTTCTTACAGCTGCTCTTGCAGAAAAGGCTACACCGGAAATGGACGATATTGTAAAGGTAAGTATTGGATCAACAATTTAAGTTTCATTGCTTTCCTGTTCACAGTTTTCCTCCTGCGTGATTTATGCCAAACAAATATGTCCCCAGTGTGAAAGGTATGAAGTACCAGGGTTTTCAGGTAATCAATGATATTTTGGAAAGAAAGGCGTTAATTTTACTAATTATAAAGACAAGTTTATAAAATCGAACTATTTTTGAAAGCCTTTTTTTTTCTATTTGGGCATGTATTGTAGATTAATTATGTAGATGTTAACTCATTAGGTTTTAATTTTGTTCTATATACGTTTTGAACTTTAAAGTTATAAATAATTTAATTCAATGTAATTATTTATAACTCAAAACGTCATTTCAAGACTGTAGATTGACCAAAAATTAGGACGTTAATGAAGATAGGTACTAAAATAACAAGCGTTCTAACGACGATCTAACATACTTTTGTTTAGACATTAATGAGTGCAGAGATGGAACAGATAGATGCAGCTGGAACGCTCGTTGTATTAATACGCAGGGCTCTTACACCTGTGGCTGTGATTCAGGTTTCCATGGTGATGGGATGTCATGTAGTGATTTAGATGAGTGCGCACAGGGTGTGCACGATTGTCATCCCAAAGCTGTGTGCAGTAATACTTGGGGATCATATCAGTGTTTTTGTTTAAAAGGATATCACGGAAATGGCAAACAGTGTAAAGGTAAGCAAGTAATTCAGATTCGTTTACGTTAACGGTCTCAGTACCACAACAGAAATAGGTAACAACATCAGTTTGCACCTTTTCCTCAGTCAGCAACTAACTGTATTTACACAGAAGTAAAAGAGTAAAGAGGAGGAAAGGTTTAAATCACGTGAATCCCAACCTTGCGTTTAGCAAAGTCTTTTGCATATTTTCAGTGTTGATTCATCGACAATGAAATTCTCTCTTAGCAATTTTCTGAGTCGGTTACAATGTTATAATATTTTACCTTTTATGTTCAGTTTTTGTTCGTATGGAGGAGTTAGAATACTGTTCATGGTTGCTTTAGGCACATATCAACCCTCTACTTTTTATAGCATTTCAGGTATTAACGGCTTGCAATAAGATGTATGGCAATGTAATTGTATAACTGGGTAGCAAACCAGGTTTGCCAGGTTTCGGAGAATACAAGAATGTAGTTTGTTTTTCGCAAGTTTTCTCATGTTATCTTTATCTTTTGCAGCTTCCTCTGCCACAAATCAACGAGTGCCTCTCGACATAGTTTTTCCTTTTATTATGAGTATTGCTCTTAGTCTATTGTTCTCTATGTAAGAACTTCAAGGAGACTATAGATGTTACATAAAGTACTCTTTAAGGGTTTCAATAATTCATTCTAAAGATTGAAAGTAACATTTTAATTTACATTCCGACCAAAGTTGATCACAGACCCAGACTATTTTTGTTTTCTACATTTGTACTAAAAGAAACTGAAAACAAACAAAAAAATCTTAGCTTATCAAAAGCAATGGATATCAGTGTTACCATTTTATTTAAGTTTAAGGCATTTGTCTTAAGCAACCACTATAATAGTGTAGTATGACCATCAAACACTGTTAAAGAAAGTTAAATGCTGACAGTCTGCCACTTTTCGTTGGGGATTAGTTTACAGCCATTTATTTCTGTAGAAGTGAACGTTTTTAATAGGGTGCTATTTTCAAAAGAATATGTTGCAATAACTGTGTAATTTCTCTCGCGCTGATTGGCTCATGTTTATCATCCATAAAAGTACAGACGGATAAAATTTTAATTTATGCAAGCTTTCAAGTTCAACTTTCAGTAGAACTTGACAACTTTGACAATGTTATGACACAATTTATCATCAATAAGAGGACGGACGCATAAAAAAAATGACGTCAATTTGTTAAACTGAATCTTATTCAGGCCTATGTGTACATGAAACAAAGACTACATTTCGTAATTAATCGAATATTTATGCTTTTAATTTCAGCTGGTATTTATTGACTTCCGGAGCTTTTTCTTGTAATTATTTATGACCAAATAACTAGTGCTTTTCTTCCTCCCTCTTTTCTTGATGTTTTTTTTCTTTTGTTGTTTTTGTTTTTCCTCGTTTTAGAGCTGTATTGCCAAAATCTGTAACTTTAAACTGATATCCAACACCTTCCCCAGTATCTTTTGCCAGTTCCCAGTTGTTTCTTAGTGACGTTTGTAAATATTTGTTTGAAAAAGGTAATAAAATTGTTCTTGTGTTGTTGCTGTTGTGTTTGTTTCTGTTGTTGTAAGATTCGCCAGTAGAAAAGTGCAAAGACTTCGTAAATTATAAGACAAAATAATTTAAGAAATAGGTTTACGAGTTTGGGTGAACGAGAAAAGCTGTAGTGCAACGTGTTAGAAAATGTTGCTCGTTCGTTTGCTCGAGGCAAGAAAATCTTTTCAATTCCGAAACAATGTTTTACTTTGGAACATGCATGCCGATTTTTTTTGCTTGCCCTTTTCCCTTCCTTTTTCTCGCCTTTTTTACCCTTGCTAGCTTTTGCTCTTCATATCCTTTCTGACAGCCGTAAAAAGTTCGGTGCTGACTATCTTTAAAGTCAGGAAATGGAACCTTGATCGATTTTAGGTGTAATAGGCCATTTTACCACAAATTTTGGACCAAAAACTGCTCAGGTTTTTTTTCTTTTTTTTTTCAATTAGCTACGTCAGAATGCGGTTGATATCCAAAACGGACAGTTGTGCGGATAGATGTATTCTAGCTCTATTATCTGCCTATATCTATTGACGCCAAAATTTAATGACGTCACAATTGGTACAAAGTCCATGACCCCTCAGCGTACGAAAACGCACGATTGCCAGTTGAAGGGCTAATGTACTAAAGTTTCACCAAAAACTAGATATGTCTTGCTTTTAAATTCAATTAAGCTTAAGTTATCTACCGTGCATGCTAACAATAGTGCATTTGTACAAATTTGAGTCGAACCAGAGCCCGGGGAGGTACTCCCTTATATTGGCTACATAGGTATCTGCGCCCCAAAGGGTATGATTTTTCAGCCGTTTTAGTCGATTTTGGGCATTTTGGTCAGAAATAGGGTACGGTTTTTGTACTCTGGTCTATAATTAAGTATGCTCTTTTAGAAGAAGCTACTTTTTCATCATCATCGATAATACCACCAACAAAAGCCCTTCATAAATTGTGTTTAGAGCAACTGTGCCAGCAGTAATCAACGGCCATAAATAGTGTATCAAATTTTTGGTCAGGTCATAAATAAGGTAGGGAAAATCGCAGATTTTGGTCATAAATAGGGTAAGGGCTTTGGGAAATGGGCCGCACATTCCCCAACCAATTTTTCTGGGAGTATCCCCCCCCTCCCCCCCCTGAGGACCAGAGTAAGTAGAACTCCTCGGTGTCTGGTCGAGTGATGTCGTCTATGTTTTCAACATTTTTTGCCCCTTCCTTGCACAAGTATAAAAACTCAAGATCGTCTTTCACAAGGTCCATGTCTGGGAACCGTACCGTGACGATGGTGTTTTCTGCATAAAAAGATAGGAAGAAGGTAGCTATTTTGCCTTCACTACACAACCGAACACACTCAAAGGTTGAGGCATGGGCGCGTTGATCAGCCAGGCCCAAGATGTGTTTTAATTGCGACAATAAGCGTACAACAAAGTGGATAAGAGATACATCAAATAACGTCCTACATGCGCCAAAGCCGGACACGTAAACGCCAAAAACCTCTTGTTAGGAAAAATAGGGACCATATACCCCCGACCAAATGCAGTGGCGCCACCTTTGGGGTTTTAAGGTTGATATATAAAAAAGAGAATCAAAAAACAAATCAGATAACGCTAATTTCTCAATAAAAGTAAACCTTATGCGAAAGTGCTAGTGGCAAGGCTGACCGTAAAATGTCACAAGTTTCTTAACCGTTTCTGATCCGTGTCGACAAAATATTCATTTATGTCAATATTGATTGTCACAAATTACATTTTTTTTTTTTTAACAAGAACAAGAAGTCTGGGCGCCATTAACCATTACGGTTACGTTATCAATCATTTCCAGTTATCCGTCTGAGTATTAGTTGAGTTTGTATGTACCTAACTTCATATATCAATAAAAGAAGGTTCTAATAGTACTTTCACTTACGATATGCAAAGTTGTACGTTGACTGAAAAAGTTGTCAAAGTCTTAACTTAAGCTTCGGCTTAGAATCGCATAGCTCAGAGAAATCTCGTACCCTGATTGGTTACCTAGGCGAGGTATTCAGCGTGGAATAAGCGAGGTTTTACGTGATATTGTACTGGAGCGACAGCAAAACAACAACTCAAAAACAATTATAAGCAAGGACCTTTCAATAATGTTTTCAAAACCATTGTAGCCATCCACAAAGTCAAAAACAAACACAGGTAACAGGTGCAACGGCAGTCAGTCTCTGTGCGCTTTTGTGCTTTTCGACTTTTTATTCTTGACTCGTTTTTCTTTCGAAGGTCTTGAACATTAAAATTGAATTTGAGTGTAAACATAGTTCTTTCTTACCACCTGCCTGAGTATGTTCGAGTCATGAACGGTAGTTTTACAATCCAACATTGCCCTAAATTTGACAGATATGCCAGAGAAACTTTCGTTTCTTCTTTTTTGGACATTTTCCCTACTCTGTTTCTTTTTTCAACACAACGGAGAGGAAACAAAATCAACTGTAGAGATTCAAAAGTGTGAACTGGTTGGGAAGCGTGGTAGATATGTTACCATGACAAAGAGAACAATTTGGAGATACATGAACGTTACATTTTCGTTCCCGGCACTCAAATTTATAGTTTC